CTCAGCACTCTCAGCTGATGCAACCTTGTTAGGGGCAGGACACACTGCTGTTATTACTGCCGCCTTAATTATATCCTGTGTGTCCAAAGGGGGGGGGGGGGGCATGTTTGTCAATGCACTCTTATTGTTGCTCATAATAGAATTGTGTGTGTGTGTGTGTGTGGCTATGTTTGTGTGTGGCTGTGCTGCACATTTGTGTGTCCATGCTGTCCTTGGAGATCAATACTCTGCATCTCTTTAATGAAGGCCCCAAAGAGAGGGAGTGAAAAAGGAAGAGGGAGAGGGTGAGGAGGGAAGGAGAGGTCTAGCACTGCTGTCCTGGTCTCTGGGGTCAAGGCGAGTGTTTTGATTGGCTGTGTGCAGATAGTGGCCACTTAACACTCTCCAAACAGAGTGTATGTGTTTAGTGGTTGTTAGGTTGTGTCATCATGAAACTGTGGTGACTGTCAATGTTGAGATGTAGTTGGATAATTCCATGTGGGACTGAGGTATAGTTGAAGCTAACTGCTAATATATAAGACTTGTTCTTGTCGAGCTTCTGTATGTGATAAACTGTAGAAATGTACTGATTTACCTGTTAAGAATGGGACAAAAATATGAGGAAAATGCTGAAAAGGATATCAAGGTGAGAAAAAACAAGAAAAAAAAATATTTTTCCTTAGATGACTCAGTGTTAGTGGACAAGTTAAGGCAGCGCCATTGCCTTTCTCTCTCAGTGAAAGTGAAGGCTCACTGTATAAATGTAAATGACTGACAGGTGCACACCTCCTGAGCACTGACAGTCTGACACTATGCTGCTACCCTCTTGGCCAGGTCTCCCTTGTAAAAGAGATTTGTAATCTCAATGGGACTAACCTGGTTAAATGAAGGCTAAATAAAAAAAATAAAACATGCCTCTCTTGCTGATACAGCCAGTGGATATTGATAATTTTTCCTTCAGTCTAGAAAATTCTGCTTTCTCAGTCACTGATTTTAGAGCCACATTGAATCATCTGTCCCACAGAAAGTTCCATATGTCAGGAAAAATGGACACTAATAAGCACTGACTGCTGACCAACCTCAGAATAGGTTTCTTCACATGTGTAGTAGTCTGAATAAGACCAGCAGGGAGGCCACTGAGGCTCTGGCTCATGTTTGGAGCCAACAGAAAAAACATATTCCTCAAAAATCTGTTTTAAAGAAAGTAGACTGATGACTGCAGCGGCTCACAGAGCACTCAGACACAATCCAATATATTAAACTGCTCTCAACATGAAATATTGACAAGGTGCAGTGAATCGGCCACACTGGTACAGATCCTGACTCTGTAAACAGGTTAAATATTGCAGCCCGGCTGTGTTGTGATGAATTGGAGCGAGGTTTACTTAGTGAGCAAAGCGGACACTTCATGGTTTACATCTCCAGGATCTTATTGAGCCAAGTCAACAGCTCATAATGTTCCCATTTATTTGAGCTCTGCTACTCTGGTAAAATTGATTTCAGGGTCAGGGTTAGGAGAACAGCTGGAGCTCAACACACACTCACACTGCTGGGTCTCTACATACACCTACAGTTAAAGTCCTCCGGATTTTGCAGAAGTAAGAAGTTCAGAAAATAAAGTCAACAAAGACAAAGGTTTTTGTGAGAATAAAAGAGTTGGGTTTCATAGTGGTATTTAGACATCAAGAAAAGTTCAGAGTTAACTTAAAAGCACAAACATATTTGAACACAGAAACTGCAAATAAGACACAGTGACAGAAATGTTTGAATAAAACTTTGTAATGTTAATCTGGGGAACCTATAGCGGTTTTTGCTAAATTTGCAGCTCTAAAATCTCTGTTTTTGTCATACTGGCATTATAAAAAACCTTTATGTACTATTTAACCCTTTGCCTGTTTCATTTGGGTGTTACTTTTTATACAGCTTTTTGGTAAAGTAACAATCCTTAAGTTATTCCGTCACAGAAAATGTTTGAGGCTGTGTTCGCACCATGTTAGCTTCCCCATTTTCTGTTTTCTGTAGTCCCATTCTGTCTTGTTTTCATGTTGTTTCCTGCTTGTGTCTCTTCACTTCATTAAGGTCTTTCTAGATGATCAGCTCCAGGTTTTAGTCACAGCTGAGACTCAGATCCAGCTCATGCTGGTCTTTGTTTCCAAAGAAGTCCTCAGTGGAGTAATGAGTGCTAACAGCTCTGATAATATCCTGAAAACTTTCAAATTTCCCGCGGTTCGTGGAGCCTTCATGTTTGCAGCTGATTCAGTCCACAGGAACTATTAGTTAATTAAAAGGAGGTTCCTGAACTTAAAGTTCCGGGTTCATTTGGTGGAAATGCTCCTTTTGTTGTGGTTCTGCAGCATGACACAGTGTTTGATGAGCAGTTAAGAGGCTCAAACTGGCCTTATTGTCGGCTCCACTGTTCCCACTTTTAAGACCACATTCCCCATGAGCCCCTCTGACCACTGAAGAGGATTAATGGAGTTGACTTCAGTCTTTCTGTGTTTATAAACTTTCATAACTAGGTGCTCTTAGTTCAGGTCTGCAGGTTAAAATAAAGGTACCACAGATGATGATCTATTCATCAGCTCAGCAGCGACAACAGTGTGATATGCTAATGGGAGAAGGTCAGATCAATTTGAATGGGGGAGCTTGTCTAAGAGTTCTTTGGGCTATAAAACAATCAAACTTGTCCTGATAGAAATGAATAAATCTGTTCTAGTAACAGATATTCCTCAAATTTGAAGGGCTTTGTTGAAGACTTATGTTATTTTTTCTATCTGTGTTTTAAAATGTTGGTGTTTATATTTAGCATCATTAGACAGAAAGAAGTGAGAGAAGAAGACGATTTAAAGCTTCAGGGATCTGTGCTACAGATGGCAGCAACTCGGCCTGCAAGAAAGAGAAACTCTGCAGGGAAATCAGTCTTCCCTCCAACAGTTTCATCCACAGACCTCCAACACTCAGACACAGACAGACAGACTGAATGAAGAAAGAGAGACTGAGAGATAACAGGGAAGAGCCAATGTTGGACCTCAGCTGTTATCAGGAAATAAGGTGCCCTCACCAGTGAAAGCTGCTCTTTGTCATGTCTTTGTCCTAACCCTGGACAGTAAAAGTCACAGACATTTAGAGATTCATGTTTTTACTCGCAATTAAGAATGAATCCAGGTCTTTGAATCATGGAGCCCTGCATGTGTGCAGTCAGATCAGTTGTTATTAACTATCTCACTGGCTTAAAAGGTGCTCCTCTTTGTGCTGGTTTCTCAAACTTTCATAGTTCCTAGACTCTAAGATATAACAGAATAAATCTGGATATTTTATTTGAATAATTTTGAGTTAAAACTGTTATGAGATGGCTAGTATCAAGTTTAATCGCCCAATCCAGCTGTAACTATTGCTTGACTCAACTGTGCATGTAAACGTATGAGTGTAATGTGAGGTTTGGTTCCCTGCTTAAAAGGTTCTGAAAATCTCCATCAGGAATCTAGTTCTAGTTTAGTGACTCTGAGAGACCCCCAGTCTGCCAAATGTGGGTCTGTGAATACAAACAGACATATTCATGACAATATTTTAAACCTTGTACAGTTCAAGAATTATTGCCATCTATAACAAGATTAGAAGAGATGCTCTGGCTCAGGTGATACAGTTCAAAGACAGTGATGTGAGCACAGCCTGCAACTCTTCTGCTAACTTGATGGGGTCTTTGGTCCAGACTAGTGGAGGCAGAGTATGAAGTCGCGCATGTAAACTCTTTGGCTTTAAATTGTAAATGGTGATCAGAAAAGTCATGATTCAAATATTTGCCTTTCTGGACATTAAATTTTGTTGATCAATAACCATCAAATGAAGAGTTTTAAGCAGTTAAATCAAAGTTCTCATTTCCTGAAAACAGCATAGGGCTACAGATTAAAGAAAAAGTACCTACATAGACTGATCTGATCTTTCAGTGTTGTAGAAATGAAGTCATACACGGGAGAATTTTAAGAGCTTATAAATCATGAGACATGTTCACCATCTTTAATCATTTCTCCATCTTATCTCTGAACTCGATGCGTCTGAGCTGAACACACACACACGCACGCGCACACACACACACACACACACACACACACACACACACACACACACACACACACTGGTCTGCCCCTGAATACCCTCCTGCCCCCTGTAGAGGGCAGAGCTCTGCCAAAACACTTCAGGCTGCATGTCTGTATCAGAGGAGAGCAAACAGGGAGGGGAGGAGGGGGGACATAGGGGTGCAGCATTGACTAAAGTGGCATTTCCAGTGTGCATCACCAGATACACCCCCTCCCCTCCCCTTCCCCTCTCTGCATCACCCCCCTCTCACCCCCAGGCCTCATAAATTGGACTTATGGCAGTGTTGCCAGCATAAATAAGTCCCTTTGATAGTTAGCGCAGGAAGTTATGACCCCCCCGGGTACGGCGGGGGACAGTGGCAGGGCGGCGTCTGGTGGTGGCTCGCCCGCCGCCCTGTGGCTCTGATCCTCGCGCCGATTCAGGGCACGCTCTCTTCATTACCGCTGGCCACCGGGGACTTGTTTTTTCTGCAAGATTAATGAGTGCCGCGGAAATTCTCCAGCGCGACTCGATAATTAAGTCTTTGTTTATCAAAAAACAAGTTATATTAGGAGCCGGAAACTTGCAGTAATTATTCATAATCCTAACAATTCAAGTGTAGCTACCTCATTTGCCTGTGTAATTCTGCTTTTTAATTTCTAGCATATATTTGCATATTAATTTTGCCCATCGGCTGCTGCTGGGGCTCTGACAGTTTCTCTTTTTCCTCCTCCCTTAGTGTGATGTTTTTGGATGGGGGGGGGGGGGATTTCAGCATGGGTGTAATGATAAATTATGAATTTTTCTAATTTGATGCATAATGAAGTAACCCCTTCTGATCCGCTTCCTCTCTGGCCTCATCAGCCTCCCTTCTCTCTCCCTCTTCCCTCCATAATCACCTTCAGCCATGTGGTCATTTGGGTCCAAGCAGCCACGTCTCATCGCCGTCACAGTCTGTCAGCCAGGCGAGGAAAAGGAGGAGAGGAGATCTGCTGCCATGGGCCAACATGACCTCCTGTCCAAACCCTCTGCTGACTCTTAGAGGCCTGGCTCTCCGCCCGCACCCTCTCCATCCATCCACCCATCTTTCCTCTCTTTTCATCCATCCTTTTCCCCCTTCCTTCTCCCTGGTTTCTTTCTCTTCTTTTTATTACTCCATCTTCTCTCTCATCATCCTCCTCTTTCCCTCTCTGATCATGATATCCCATGGCCTCTCCTCTCTCATTCTCTTCCCTTGTATTCTCCCTCCTCTCATTGCATACTTTTCTCTTTTCAACTCTTCTAACCTTTTCTTCCTCTCTTTCTCCTTGTGTCCACTTTCCCCTCCTCTTTGCAACCATCCTCTCCTTTCTTTTCTTCTCCTTTTCTCATTTTATGCCCCTTCTTTTCTTGCCGCCACAACACTCTCATTGCCCACTTCTCTCTCGTTTCCTCCACTTTTTCCTTATTTCCCTTTTCTCCTTTTCTCTCCTCTCCATCCTTTCATCATGTAATGTATCATCTGTCGCATTTTTCCTCACCCTACTCCCTCTCTTTTCAGTTCTTTTATCTCTCTTCTCCCCACACTTATTTCTTTTCCTTATCACTTCTTTCTTTTTTCTTTTGTACTGATTTCATGTTTTCTCCTCTTCTATCTTTCCTTTTTCTACACCTTTTCTCTTTATCACTTCCTTTTATTCTTCTTTTTCTTTCTCTCATCTTGATGCTCCCTCCTTTTCCTCCTCTTTCTCGATTTTTTTTCTTCTCCACTTTTTTCCTCTAGGTACCTGTTCAGAGCAGCTCCTATCTGTTTGTCCCCGGAGGTTGTGTGTGTGTGTGTGTGTGTGTGTGTGTGTGTGTGTGTGTGTGTGTGTGTGTGTGTCTTTCTGTGTGTCTGTGTGTGCGTGTGCATGCACCAGGACGAGCTCAGACCCCCTCGTCCTTGATGGAAATGTCTCCTCGTCTCTCTGACATCTGTTAAAGTGTTGGAGTGCGGCGTTTGGTAAGTGCTAATCGTTACACTGCGTTGACTGCTGCTGTCATCAGGAAATGAATATTGATGATCTAAAGACCGAGATGCATGCTGGGAAACACATTTAAAGTAAGACTACATCCTTGCAGACATTTACACTCCCACACAACCTGACACTAAACATGAGACATTAAAGAGAGTGACCTTTGACCTGTAATAGTGAGTGAATGACACTTAATACTCAGCTGCCTTCAATACTTGATCCTAATTGGTCAGAACACAGCAACAGCCTCAGTCTGGTCGTAAAGGGTGGGAATCATCAGCCAACACAGGTGTGTACAGGTGAGTTTGATGTATTTGTAGAGGGAGGCTTTGCTGAAGTGATGAGCTGCCTCTCTCTGTTTTTAATTGGAGGTCATTACATGTATTCTTGCAGCTCTTGCAGTCTAATTATTTACAGACAAACTTGGACTCTGCATACACTGGAAGGGCAACTAGAGGTTATTTAATGTTTTATCATATACTGAAAGAGCATCAAGAGGCTCTTCTGTTGAATTTGATATTCTGTAAGAGGCATTCAAAGGGCAACTAGGGGGTGCTTTTCAGATAAGAGTACTGGAAAGGCATTCAGAGGGGACTATGACATATTTAAGGCGCTTTCTTCACATTTAAGATACTGGAACAGCATTTATAAGAAGCACCTTTTCCACATTTTATAAACCTACGGGGCCTCTAAAGTGACTTAAACATGTTTAATGTTATGAAACAGCATCACAGGGTCACTTTTTAGAATACTGGTAGGGCATCAAGGGGGCACTTCTGTTGATTTTTATATTCTAGTAGATGATTCAGAGGGTGTTTTTGCATTTTTGTGTAATCTGTAAGAGCATCCAGGGGGGCTCTCAGAGGACTCTGCAGTTTCTGTTTCCTGGATAGACATTGTCAAACCCTGCCCAGAGGACACTTTTTCACATTATATACACTTCAAAGTTGTCCAGGGCCATTTTCAACCTTTAATATACCACAGGCATTTTCTCTGGGGACTTTTACTCATCCAAACTTATGTAAGGGTATCAAGGCATCACTTTTCTGTGGGTTTTAAATACCTGCAAGGCATCCAAAGGGTCCCTGTTCCACATTTTCTTTACTGAAAAGACATCAATGAGGCAGCTATGTGGAGTTCTGCAAACTGAAAAGGCATCCTGGGGGACTTTTGGATATCATGTAATGACATGAAGAGGTCACTTGTCTGTATGTTTTACTTCCTGGAAGGGCATCTGGGAGTAGCCTTTTTCAAATGTTATACTCAGGACAGGCATTGGTTTGGCCTTGATCCAAACTGGGCTGGCATGCAGAGCAAGCTTTTTTACATCGTATATACTGGGAAGTCATCAGGAAGATACTTATGTTGGATTTGATATACTGGAAGAGAGAGCAGTTTTCCACAGTTTAAACACTGGAAAGGCTCCACACAGCACTGTTTTATGTTTAATTCATTGGACAGGCATCTAGTTCAAACCCTGACATCCAGTAGTCACTTCACAGATATTATTTCCAACTAATGTAAGACTTCAGCTGCAGCCCTACCTGCTAGTTATCATCATTCTGCTGTCTGACCACTGGAGAACCAAAGCCTGATTATAAAGAGAACAACTGTCTGCACTGAGGTCTGAGCTTTGAGCCAAACATGCAGGTGCTGTTTAAAGGAAACCTTTTCTGTCATTTAATGGGCTCTGTTATCTCCACACTTTTATTTGTTCTTTCTGTAGATATCAGTTTCTCTCACAGCACAGACTCGCTCTGTCGTCACTCTATCTCTCCTCCATGGAAATGTCACAGATTAAACTGCAGCATATTGTCAGATCAGATGCACTGGAGAAGAAACTCTGCTGTTCCTGTTGTGTAAAGCAGACAGACTGTCACTTTGATTAGACAAACAGTGTTGATGTGAGCAATCTCTTTGACCTCTAACCTCTCTGAACACTGACCTGGTTCTCGTATGAGTGACTCGGCCTGTGCATGTTCTCTGTCTATTTGCAGGGGGCCAAAGTTCAGACAAACAATTTATGCATAACGCTGTCCGTCGCAGCCAGCCCGGTTAATGTGAAACCTCTGAATAATCATGGAGGCACAGAGGGAGAGAGGGAGGGTCATTAAGAAAGACGAGGAAGAGTGGCAAGGAGTCATCGGGCATGTTGGCGACTCCTAATGTGTTGAACGGATGGCGGGGACACGACCCTGTAATTGCAAGGTGTCAAAGCGTCCTGCTGCCACCACAGAGGGCTGGCTCTAAACCCGGGTGACACTGAGGGGTGAGGGTGTGGGGGTCAGGTCAAACAGGATGACACCTCATAATCAAAGGGGGTGACATCTGAATCAAAGCAGACAACCTGTCACCTCATTATGCACCAGAGCAACAACACAAGTGAACCTCTGAAATCAGATTAATTTAAACCATTACTGACATCTCCCGTTTACATCAAAAAATAACCTTTGACCCTGGAGCCAAATGTGCACTTTTATAATCCCAAATGAGTGCCTCACAAACTACCTTCGAACAGTTTTCAATGTTTGTGGCCTTTAAATGATGCAGTGACACTGACAAACTTTCTCACTGGACAATATATAAATCTGTAATCAGATGATAATATTCCATTTAATATACCAGCACTCTCATCAGGATCCTAGCGGCAGAGTTTTGAATGTATCAGAGTCTCTGCAGACTCTTGCTAGGGATACCGATGAGAAGTGCATTGCAGTAGTCCAACCTGGAGGAGATAAAGGCATGAAACAGCTTTTTAGCATCTAAGAGGGAGAGAAGGGGTGGGATTTTAGAGATATTGCGGAGGTGATAGAGGGAGGTCTTGCAGATGTGGTTGATGTGGGCTTCATAGGTGAGATGGGGATCCATTATAACACCAAGATTGGTGACTAGTGAAGAGTGAGGAATATTGGAGCCAGAGAAAGAGATGCTGGTTATGGTTGATGACTGGGTCTGGTGAGGGGTTCCGACCACAATGGCTTTTGTCTTTAAACTGTTGGAGGAAGTTGTGTCCCATTTATGTCTTTATCTCCTCCAGGCAGGTGGTGAGTTCTGATGAGAATGACTGTGATGATGGGTGTGTGTGTGTGTTGGGGGGGGGGGGGGGTTGCTGCGACATTTACATAGAACTGTGTATCGTCTGCGTAACAGTGAAATGAGAGTCCATGATGGCTGATGACCTGACCAAGGGGGATAATGTAAAGGATAACCAACAGGGGGCCAAGAACTGACCCCTGGGGGACCCCAAAGGTGACTGTATGTGGATGTGAATGGAAGTGAACAAGGGAGATTTATTCTGTCTGGTTTGTGAGGTATGACTGGAACCAGCTGAGGGCAGTGACAGTGAGTCTAATGGTGAGGTGGAGCTGGTTTAGCAGAATATCATGGTCGACTGTGTCAAAGGCAGCAGATAAGTCCAGAAGGATGAGAAGGGAGGGAGAGCCTGCATCAGACCACATGAGGAGATCGTTAGTGACTCTGATAAGTGCAGTTTCCATGCTGTGGGCGGAGCGGAAACTGGACTGGAATGTTTCATACAGTTGTTGAGTTGTTGAGTTTGAGGTGGTCCTGAAGGTGGGTGGCAACTGCTTTCTCAAGTACCTTGGATATAAAGGGGAGGTTGGAAATGGGCCTGTAGTTGGATAGGACCTGTTGGTCGAGGGTGTGTTTTCTTTAACAGTGGTCTGATCTTACCTTTTTTTAAGGCAGAGGGTACATGGCCAGATTGGAGGGAGTGATTTATTATGGAAGTAATCAGGGTGCTCAAGATGGTTCATGTGAGTTTTAACTAGGGAGATTGGGAGAGGGTCCAGGGGACAGGTGGAGGGTTTCATCTTCATGATAATGTCCTGTGCCTCCTCAGAGAAAACCTCAGGAAAACACATTAGCTGTTGGGAGATGGTAGAAGTTGGGAAAACACTTAGGGTTGAAGGACCAGGAAGGGCAGAGCAGATATGTGCAATTTTTGATGTGGAGAAGTCCATGAAGTGATTGCATTGCTCTTCTGTAGTGGCTGAGCGTGTGTGTGTGGAGTTTCCTGGAGTATTACAGGTGGCATTGGAATAAAATTGTGACCTTGACTCTTTGAGGGACTTTGCATAGTTGTGTTGGTCCTCCCAGTAAATTTGTTTATGGACTTTGTAGTGTCGCTCAAGGATCGGCTTTGCTGCCTTCATCTTAAGAAGCCCATCTGTGAACCATGGTGCTGAGCGGGAGAAGGTGACTGATCTGGTTTTAAAAGGGCCATGGAGGTCCAGGAGGTTACTAAGATGGCTGTTGTAATAGTCCACTGCTTCGTCGGCTAATGCAAAATGTGTGGAAAGATGTTGAAAGTCTGCTACCAATTG